TTGTGGATCTCATAGTAATACAATTGCAGCTTCTTTATTCTAATCACACTGTTCTATCCATTTCTTTACTATTTTGTGCTTTAAGACCCATCAACGTTCCTCACTAACATGGAGTCATAGGCAACCTTAAACCATAAAGGATAAACAAATGGCTTTTTACCGAGTTGCTTTTGTGATTTTTCCTTTGTTAGTCTGCAATTTCCATGAAAGGTTGTATCAATTCTTTTGAAAATGTTCTGTCTTTCTGCCATGCTGCAAAAGGATAGAAAGACATGGATTATTCTCTATTCTTAAATCAGTTGTGTCATTTCAATTGAAAGACACACCAGTGGCAGGCTTTGGATGTTTGATTTTATCATTATAAATTCATTCTTATGTGACTGATATTGCCTTCTTCAGGTCAAGGTTCATCTCTTATCATATGTGTTGGAATACTGATTGGGTATATGGAGACGTTACACAAAATGCTTACTCAGCTTTCAGGTACATGACTGGATGCAAACAAAGGATTTGGGAATTTTATCCGACCTCCCTTTCCGTTATCTCTAGCTTAAATTTCAAAGTATGGAAGTGATGTGTCTGCTATCTTGAAGATTGTGTTTCCAGGCTCCATTAAAATTGGTCTTTTTTTAGTTTTCTTTCTAGATGCATGATCAATTATTTATTTTTCTTGGAAGATGATAAATCTATCTCATTTCCCACTAAAAAGGAAAAATGAATCCAAAGGATTAGGGAATAAATAATTTTGAGAAACATAAGCTTTCCCGATTGCAAGTTTACATTTTAAAGTTAATTAAAGCTCCAATTTAGCTTGGTCTGTAGAAGCATCTATACGTGTGTTTTCAGTTCTGTTCTCTTTGGTTCCATCCTTTTCAATGGAACTAAAATGTACCCACTTTGAGACCTTTTGTTAAGTTTTGTTCTATTTTTAATATACACCAAACATAGAATAAAACTTGTACCTTTTGTTCTTTCTTGTTCTAACTTGTCCTACCAAACACTACCTTAGAATAATGTTACAACTTACCAGGATGATATGCAACTATAATCATGTCAAAATATCTAAAGTTATATTATATTTATATCATCGATTCATTCGACTGTATTGATTCATTTTTCTTGATATTCAGCGAGTGCTGTTAGTTGGTGGCCATATGTGCTTGCAGTATTGGGCCTCTTCACCATAGTCACTATGTGGGCAGTTGTAGTTACTGAAGGTTGCAGGAAAGTAAAGCTTCAGTACTATGGTTTTAAGCTTGCTTCTGCTGCAAGGTAATGCCATTGAAGTTGTCCAGACAGTTGAACCTTGTTATCCTCATTGAAAGTGTAGATGTTACTGGAGTTATGATATTCTCTCGCCCATAATTTTATTTTACTCATGTCTTCTGACAAGTTGGTTCATGAGGAAAGTTGATCTATACTTCAGAAAATCGTAGATTCTGTTTTCATGTGTGCCTTCTCTGGCTTTAATATTAACTTATATTCTACTTGGCCCATATATTCTATAGAATTCACTGTCCTTGTTTATTATGACAGTTAATTTATACCTCTTTCTGATGGAATTAAATTTTAATCTTGAGTGTACTGAGCCCGATAATAGAGACTTTCTTGCCTCAAAATTTGAAACAGGGAGCAATCGCCTATAACTGAAGTGGAGCCCTATATTCCTTTCAATATTAATCCAGCAGGGATGCAACCTGTTCTTACCACCTCTTACCTCTTGGCCTTTCCAAGCATTGTCGCTAGGTTTGTATGTTCCGTTTTGCATTTCAACTTCCACTTTCTTTGCTTACTAGGAAACATGTTTTTCTGTTGCTAGTCTGGTGTTGTTAAAAATGAAGTTTCCTTTACTGCTTTAATGTGAAGTGCAATTTCTAAAATTGCTATTGATTGTCAGTTTGCTTCGGTCACCTTTTTGGGAGCGTGTGAAGGAAATGTTGAATCCCGACTCTTCTGTTGGCGCTGAACCATGGGTCTACTATTCTATATATGCCTTCTTTGTCTTCCTTTTCAATATATTTGATATTGTAAGTTTCTTTTGCCAACCATTATATGACTGAACATTGTAGTCGATATAAAGAGTTTATAGTCTGCTTTGTTTAGTTTCATATTGATATAACTTATTGGTTTCCACAAAAGTATATGCAAAAGATAGTAGATGGATAAAACTTGAGGCTGCTGTAAGACTTCGTCTGAAAAAGGCTCCAGTCTGAAATGTAAACAGTGAAGCAGATACTAATACGAGTTTTAACAAAGTTTGCATGATATCCCAATATGTTCCCGATGTAGCACATTTGTTTCAAATTCTAGTTACAAAAACACTTGATTTTTAATTAGGCAAAACTTGAACTAAAATTTGCAGAGTATAATTTAACTGGTAAGTAAACCTGAACTAAATCATTGTATGTAGCCAAGCCGTTTGTTTCTCTGGTACTATTGTAGGCTGAATTAGATTTCAACTGAGAATTCACCCCAAAAAAAAAAATCAATTTAGGATTATGGAAAAAGATGCCAAATTTGTTACTTATTGCAATGATCTGAATTTTGAGCTACTTATTCTGGTTGTTAATTTTCAGCACAATTAAAAATACATGTTTCATAATTGTAATTATCTTGAATTCATAGTTTGATGCAGCTCCAAGTCATTTCCGTATTTTGTTAAAATATCAGTAATTCATAACTACTTATATTTATATCGTAAAAGGCTTTTTATATGTGGATTTTGCACAGGCTAACTTGCCAAAGGAAATTGCCGATTACTTGAATAAGATGGGTGCAAGGATACCTAATGTTAAGCCTGGGAAGGCTACGATAGAATACCTCTCAAAGGTTCAGGCATCCACACGATTTTGGGGTCTGTATGCTGATGGCTTCAGTTTTAGTCTCTTTCTGATATTTAGTGAATATAATATTTTCCTGTTATGTGATTTTCATTCGCAACCTAATGAAAATTTTGCAGGGGGCCTACTGTTAAGTGTTTTGGCCACTACTTCAAGTGTTCTCGATCACTATTTACGGCGTACAAATGCTGGATTTGCTATTGGTTTTACATCAATTCTAATTATTGTAAGTGCAATTAGGGTTTCTGTTATATAACTCTACTTTGCATACAAACTTATTGGTCATACAGTCAGGCAAGAAATTAACACCAGCTTCATTTTTCTGACCTGCATTGCTTTTGAAGCAATTTCAATTTGGTCGCATAGTGTTGACTTGTTATGTTGAGTAATTTCTCATGCATCTCACTAGTACCCTCTGGTAGTACTGTAGTTTTTTTATCCTCTACTGTTTTCATCACCCAAATACACTGTTTTCATCACCCAAAATACTTTTTGTTTCTTGGTTATTAAGAGGATTTTTTAAACTCTTTCCCCTCTACAGAAAATCATGGGTTTGGTACAAATAGTATATACAGTATTATACATTTGGAACGTACTTTCTTTTATCACACTCTATCAAGTGCTTTGTTTAATACAGTTTCACTGAGTACCTCTTGGTTTTATTGGTCCAGGTTGGTTCCATTATTGAACTTAGAAGATCGTATCAAGCATATAACGTGATGCCAGGATTAAGCAATGCTTTGAAACGTTATGGTGTATAAACTTCTGAAAAGCCATGATGTCATTCATGCTTTCGTCGGCATTAGTAAGTAGTAACAAATATCCGTCTGCAGATTTTCCATTGTGATTGATCAGGGCTGCCTAATATTTCCAACAACCTAGTTCTATTCGGAGAATTAAGTCTGGCTTGTGGGTCTTGGAGTAATGAAGTCTCGGAGAAGTAATGTATGTGCTAAATGCTACCTGTCAGCGCGTGCAAGATATTGATTCAGAAGTCTCATTTTCTGATTTCTTTACGGAAGGAACTTATTTTGATGATTTAGGGAAGTATTTAGTTAGGTTATAGTTGTAGCTGCAGCTAATATTTGTACATGAAATTTTGTTATTGACGTGTAATGTAAAAACGAGGTAATATAGGAGGTTAAACACCTTAAATTGGCCATTTATCACTCCCGAAAAGGGCTTTGGTGGTAGGCATTAGTTATATTGCAAGTTGCAACTAGAGAAAGAACTTGCCATTTGGTTTTTAAGTTTGTATGTTATCTGCCTGTATAGTGATTGATAATTAAACTTTATTTGAATGTATTATGTATGAGTAAAAACTGTATTTTTATCAATGATAATAGTTATGGAAATCATATAAATACAACTCCTAGCTCAAACTAAACAAGATATCATGATTCAAAATTCATTTGCTCAGTCCCTTTAACTTATCAACCTTTGCATATTGACTCTGCCATGGGTTTTTCGTACATGTAGAAGATGACCAGTTTTCATCTCTGCGAATAATTTAAGAATTTGAGTTTTAAAACAACACATTGGTTTTGTAAATGCTGAAGAGGTGATTGCGTATCATATTTAATTAACTAGAGCAAAGATGAGCATTGTCTATATCTTTGTTGGTATAAGAGAATTCATCTCTTGTTCACTGTTAAACGATGTGGATTCATGACACCTACTATAGATATAAGGAAATTGTTACATACACCCCCTTTGGTTAATGAAGAGGAGCCCACAAGTACTGAGCCCATTGGGATTGTTGAACTCGGGCCAATTATGATTAAGCCCAAACGTATTACCAAGTTACCTGTGAAGCTCCAAGATTATGTGATATACAAGTGATGTTAGCTGATGGTTCTGGAAGCAAATCTTTCATTAGATAATGTTTGTTATGCAATTGTGCCAGTATATAATAATTTCGATTAGTTTGTTAGTGAGTATCGTTGTAGTTCCTTTATTTAAGGAGTTGTATTCCTTTGATGGCTATCAATTAATAAAATAACAATTCACTTCTCTCATCTATATTCTTAAGGAGGCACTATGAGAATTTGCTCTTAACATTGATACTCTCATTGAGAGAACCACCTCCAACATGGTTGGAAAATCATCTTCCGATGACCGTTTCGACGAGCTATCCCAGCAAATCGCTACTTTCTCCTTATGACTGGAGGAGCTTCACCTTCGTCTGGACCAGAAACAGCCGCCCTTCGCCGCATCTTCCACCCCTATCTCCAACGCCACCGTCTGAAACTCGATGTTCCCCGTTTTGACGGCACCGACGCACACAGATGGATCTTTAAGATCAATAAATTTTTCACCTACCACGAAACTCCCGAGGAAGAGCGCATCACCATCGCGTCCTTCTACCTTGATGGACCAGCGTTGTCATGGTACCAATGGATGTACCGTAACCACCAAATCGTTTCATGACATCAATTTCTACAAGCTCTCGAGACCCGATTCGCTCTGACGGTGTACGACGACCCTCGTGGTAACCTTTTCAAACTCACTTAATCCACCACCGTTGCAGCTTATTTGGTGGAATTCGAGGCACTCGCCAACCGTATTGTGGGGCTTTCACCGGTGGATCTACTTGGTTGTTTTATATCGGGATTCAAGCAAGATATACGCCGCGAAGTTCTAGCTCGCCAGCCCACATATCTGACCCATGCCGCAGGGTTATCGCGTTTACAAGAGGACAAGTTGTTGGATCAAGAACGTGCAAATCGTCCCAAATTCATACCCCCTTCGTCCTTCACCGGACCCATCAACACGTTCTGGTCCCAAACTTCTGCCTACACCGCCAGTCAAGCCACTGTTCCATCATCTATCTGAATCTGAAATGGCAGAACGACGAGAGAAGAAATTGTATTTAAACTGTGATCAAAAGTGGTCTCGTAATCATAATTGTCGTGCTCGCATCTTCTTAATGGTTACTGACAAAGAAGAATCGTCTCCGACGATAATGGAATTGGAAGCTACCATTGCTATGCCAGAGTCCACCAGAGACGATGATCCACCACCAGCTCAGCTTAAGTTACACGTTTTATCCGGACACCAAGCTTCAAACACATTCAAAGTGACAGGTAAAATTGCTAATCAAACTGTTGATATTTTGGTGGATGTGGGTAGTACACACAACTTCATCCAGGAATACATTACTGTTGCATTGGGCCTGACCCACAACCCAATCACACCATTGAGAGTTATGGTAGGACGTGGTCAAGAGTTATTGTGTTCACAGATCTGTCTGGGTGTACAATTAGCAATTCAGGGTCATTCGTTTTCGTTGGATCTTTATGTTTTGGGCCTTAGAGAAGCCGATGTTGTTTTGGGAGCTCAATGGCTCAAACAGTTAGGCCTTGTTTTAATGGATTGCAATCACCTTACCATGAAGTTCTTCCACAATAACACATGTATTGAGTTAAAGGGTGATCCCACTTCTTTCCCTTCACCATTAACCTTACACCAACTTCATAAATTACTCAGCAATGACAATGTTGGTCAATTCTTCCCCCCCTGTGCTTATGAACTAGAAACTAACCCACATCATTCATCCCCCACCCTTCCACATTCAGAAACAGACCCTCAAATCACCTTATTATCGAGGAATTCTCCACTTTATTCTCTGAACCTACCCATTTACCACCCCCACGTCTCACTGATCACACCATTCCACTCCAACCTAATTCTTCCTCTGTCAACGTCTGCCCTTATCGATATCTGCATTCTCAAAAACTCAAAATTGAGACACAGGTTGCTAAGATGCTCAAGACTGGTTGGGTCTAACCCAGCAATAACCCCTTCTCTTCTCCGATATTATTGCTTAAGAAAAAAGATAGATCTTGGCGAATGTGTGTGGATTACCATGCCTTAAACGCCCTCACTGTCCATGACTGTTTCCCTCTGCCTACAATTGATGAACTGCTAGACAAATTGGGGAATGCTCGTATTTTTTCAAAATTGGATCTCACCTCTTGGCTCCATCAAATCCGACTCACACCAGAAGATACTCACAAGACTGCATTTCGTACTCACGACGATCATTATGAGTATTATGTCATGCCGTTCGGTCTTTGTAATGCTCCAACGACATTCCAAGCCACCATGAATTAAATTTTAAGGCCTCTTCTCCGAAAAATCGTGATTGTATTCTTTGATGACATTCTGGTGTTTAGCACTTTATTGGATCACCATTTGGAACATCTCATAGAAGTTTTCACCATTATATCTGAACAATAGTTCCACCTTAAAGCTTTCAAATGCCCATTTGGTCAATCCAAGGTCGCATATTTAAGCTATATCGTGGATGAAGGCGCGGTAGCTCTAGATCCCCTTAAAATTCAGGTAGTGTGCAATTGTCCGACTCCCAAATCTGTCAATGGTTTGAGAGGATTTTTGGGACTGTCCAGATTTTATAGTAAGTTTGTGTGGAGTTACGCTTCCATAGCTCACCCCTTGACTGAATTTCTAAAAAAAGATGCATTTAAATGGTCTTCTGAAGCTAACACATCTTTTTCTGCACTTAAATCGACTTTGGTAAATGCACCAGTCTTAGCCTTATTGAATTTTTCTGTTCCCTTCATCGTGCAAAATGATGCTTCTGGTCAAGCTATGGGAGCAGTCCTGTTACATAACGACCATCCCTTGCCTACTTTAGCAAAATATTTTGTCCTCTCATGGCTAAGGCTTCTACTTATTTGCGTGAGCTACATGCCATCACATGCACTGTTAAACAATGACAACAATATCTTCTCGGTCAATTTTTTATCATCCAGACTGACCACATAAGCCTTAAAGAGCTCCTCACACAAGTCATTCAGACACCCGAACAACAACTCTACCTTTCCTAGTTGCTGGGGTACCATTATGACATCCAATATAAGCCGGGCAAGTCTAATATTATGGCCGAAGCTTTGTCTCGTGCGTTTGAAGGGATCGAGGCTACCTTGCACTCTCTTTGTTCCTCAGTTCATTTTTTTGGAGGAATTGCGTCAGGAACTGTCTACTGATCCAACTTATATTGCACTTTGAGCAAAGGTAACTTCCTCCCCCATCAATTTCCAGAATTTACTTTGAAGGATGGGTTTATTATGTAACATAGAAGGATTTGGATGAGTCCCACTTCACGCTTCAAACAACTTTTGATGAAGGAATTCTGTGAGACTCCGATTGGGGGTCACAGTGGTGTCATTAAAACTTTGAAGCGTTTAAGTGAGGATTTCTACTAGGAAAACATGAGGACTGAGGTGAAGACATTCATCAACTGTTGTGTGGTTTGCCAACAAACAAAATATAGCACTGTGAAACCGGGGGGACTTCTCCAGCCACTACCAATCCCTACAAATGTTTGGGAAGATTTTTCTCTTGATTTCATTACTGGCTTGCCTGTGCCTGTATCACATGGATACATAATCATTCTTGTGGCAGTTGACAAGTTTTCCAAATTTATTCCTTTAGGGGCACTTTCAACCCATTTCACAACTTACATAGTTGCAGAATTGTTTGTTAATATGGTCTGCAAATTACATGGTCTTCCTAAGAGCATCGTTTTAGATCGAGACCCCATCTTCATTAATCGATTCTGGGAAAATCTCTTTCGCTTTAGTGGTACTTTACTCCAGATGAGTTCGTCGTATCATCCTCAAACTGATGGGCAGACAAAAGTTACCAATCGCACGATTGAGCAATACTTGAGGTCCTTTGTTCATGATAGACCCTCACAGTGGTTATGTTTCTTGTCTTGGGCCGAATTTCATTACAACATTTCATTCCACTCTGCCACTGGGATTACATCGTATCAGGCCATGTATGGAAAACTTCCACCTGCTATTCCTTCTTATATTGAAGGCCCGTCCCTTATCAATGCGTATGACGATATGCTCCATCCGAGAGAAGACATTCTGGCCTTTCTCAACCGCAATTTAGCAAAGGCTCAGGCACGCATGAAGGCCAATGCGGACAGCCACAAGAGGGAGGTATCATTCAAGGATGGATCTTGGGTTTATGTTAAGCTTTAGACATATCGCCAAATATCGGTCACCGGTGAGAAGTATAGCAAGTTATCTAAGCGATTCTACGGTCCTTTCGTTGTGTTGGAGAGAATCGGGGAAGTAGCTTACAAATTAGAACTCCCTTCAAATTCCAAAATCCACAATGTGTTTCATTGTTCTATTCTTAAACAACATCATGGTTCTAGTCCATCCGACATCGTGTTAGAACAAGATTTGGTTGTGTAATATCATATTTATGTTTTTATGATAACAAATAAGTATGTTTGTATGAATAATTTTGATACTCTAATGTTTGGTTATTTTTGAGTGCTTAAAAAATAGGTTCTGCTTCTGCTGGATGGCGTGACCAAGAAATTAGAAGAGAATTAGTTCCACTTTTGTGCTACACAAGTTCTGATGAATAGTAGCAAGACACTCTAGAACACTCTGAAGTGTAGGCTCTGATATTTGTCTAAAAAACAAGTCATAAGATCTGAAGACAGAAGTTTCTACTTACGCCCAGATGCTAAAGACTCAAGTTTCTAAAAGACCAATGATTCTAAGAAAAGGCTTCTAAGGACAATGTGTTAAAGACTCTGAAGACAAAAGTTCTTAAGACTCTAAAGACTTGAAGTTCTAAAGATCCAAGGCTCTAAGAAAAGGTTCTCACGACCAAGTGTTGAACACTCTAAAGACGCAATTCTGAAGACTCTAAAGACATGAAGTTCTGATGACCTTGTGTTATGTTCTCACTTCTAAACTCATGCTGGTAGAAGCCTCTTAAGTGTAGAAGGAAAAAAGATAACGTTAACATGGTACAATAGTACACAGTACGAAAAAGCCTTATTCCACTAGCTTGAAATATGGAAAAGAAAATGACATAACAATACTATTTTGTAACGACTCTTTTTCAAATAGCCAACGACTTTATTTTTCTTGGCTATATAAGAAAAGGATCATATTCTTAAAAAGGTGTTAGTGTTCAATGTTCAAAGAAAAGCTATCATTATTGGAACACAACCAAAAAGTATCAACCACTACAACAACAACAAAAACAAATGTTACCAAAATGATTCTTGAATCATGTTGTTGATGATTACAAGATAAAAATGAAGTCATTGATTCATAATATGATTAATTTCATATACTGCAAGAAGCTTAATAAGCTTCATAATATAATGAAGATGATCATGAAAGCTCTAGTTACAAATCCTCAACATGAATGTTGTGCTCTAAAGTGAACATTGAAGTAAATAGAATAAGGGATGTTGTCCAGAGTGTTCTAAGGTGAATCAAGATGAAGAAGTTCTTCTCTTTACTACATCAAGATCAACAAAGCTTTCAGAAGCTTATGAAGAAGAAGACTTCAACAATTTAAGTGCTTTGGGATGTTGTCTGTGAAGAAGTTGTTTGAAGAAAAGAAGACCACACATTAAC